TCGATGATTTTGACAGATGTATAGCTCCATGGAACCACTGCCCCAGTCACAATAAAGAAGGTCCCCATCTCCTCAAAAGGGCCCTGTGTCCCCCGCAGTGAGCACCCCCTCTGCCCCGATCTGAGTGCTGTCCCTGAGGTGAGCTTTGCGGCTCCCAATCATGTTTCATTGTTACAGGTGTTTGTTTGTCCCACTTCTGCCCCTGCTCTGGGGGAGGACGGGGAGGGAGGACTCACCCTGCTCACAGTCTGTGAGTCTGGAGCACTTTGCTGTCCCTGCCGTGGCGTGGAATGGACATGGTGGAGAGCCCTGCACTGAATGAGACAGCTGTAGACTTGCACCAGCGCTGTGTTTGAGCCTGTGGGATTGTGAGTGACAGAGAAGCTGAGATACCCTGCGCAGACTGAGGCCTGCAGTGCCCTTTGGGAATCTGACGGAGGATGGCCACTTGGTTTCCTGCAGCAGGCATTTATGACATGCCCACTGCATGCACCAAACTGTGCTAGACAACATGGGGGATGCAAAACGAAAACGAGATGCGACCCACCCTCGAGGGGCTTGTGGTTTGGAGAAACACGTGGAGGACAAGTCCGTGCAGGCCCAGCACAAACGAGAATGTGGGGTCCCTTGTTCACAGAGCAGGAAGAAGTGCAGTTAAAGGTCCTAAGATAGGAAGCTTATGCCTGCCTTCTGCGTGCACGCACGTGCACTCTCTCTCTCTCTCTCGGCTTGTCATGGTGTTTTTTAGTTGCTATTCTGTTATTTATTTCATTTTGTTATCCAGTTTCCAACTTAATGATGGTTTGACTTAAGAATTTTCAACTTACCTTGGGTTTATTGGGACATAACCCCATCATAAGTTGAGGAGCATCTAGGTATTATATATTATATAATTATTTGTATATAAAATATATAAAATAAAATAGCAAAATGATATGTAAAATAAAATATAAATGTTATCTTACCACTATTATATTAAATTCAGCCTGGGAGTTTTATCATTCACCTTTATGTTTTGTACAATGTCAATTTTAAGTTTAAATGCACACATGAGAGCATTTAGCTAGTACACTGAATCACAGATATCACACAATGTTTCATAATATGCACATGCATATGTTTTTCATTCATACCAGAACAGTGGAAAACTGTTCAAAACAAACTCAACCATTTTTATCTCACTTTGATATGTACAAATTCTACCAGCGCTGTCTGCCTTCAGGGAAAGACTGCATGGCAGAGGAACTCCGGATCACACTGTGCAGTGGCCGGGCCTTCTGTGTCGTCCTTTTCAGTGTGTGTGGTTGGCTGACACGGTAAGAAAGGACAGGGCTCCTCCGTTGCCTTCCCTCTGCATGTGAAACACGTTGAAGCACATTCTGCTTGGATGGAAAGCATGGCGGCTTCCGGTCATAGACAGGACATGTCCCCTGTCCTCACGCCATCTCACTGACTCCCACGCACTGTGGGTCCACCAGGATTCCACGCTCCTGGGACCTCCTCTGTTTGCATGCATGCTGCCCTGTCCCATCAGACTTCACTTACAGAACACTAGTTCAGGTTGAAGAGTTTCAGGCCAGTGGCAGCTTCTAGGTGCTAATGCAGCAGTGCAAGCCATCCAGGCAGCATGGTGTGTGCTTAGCCAGTGCCTGTGGGCACCTCTGGGTCTCTCCCCAAGGGATGCAGGCTTGGGGGCCACGGAGGACATGACCGGAGCCTAGTGTGGACCCTAGGTTGCCTGAGGCCCTGTGGTGGCTGGAAGTTGCCACTTGTCCTGCACTTTTAGGCAGGTGGCAGGGAGGGGCGTCCCCCTCCAGGGGCTGTGAGATGTGGTCATCAGGAAGGAGGTATAAAGGCTCCATCACCCTTACCTGAGTTACCTTATGTAAGTCACTTCATCTCTGCCTCAGTTTCCCCATCTGTGAGATGGGGGAGAAGCTGGAGGTGAGGCAATCTCATTGCATTGTTTAGAGCATAACTTGAGAATGTAAGAGAAGCATTTAGCATGGGGCTGGGCATCTAATAAGCGCCCTCCCTCCATGGTGGCCAGCATCATTCCCATTCACCTCCGTGACACAGGTAGGGTGGGCACGTAGGGCCGGGGTGCCAGAGGCCCCATGGCGGGGGAGCTCTGTGTCATGAGGGGATCAGCACCTTCTCTCTGGCCTCAGGCCCACTGGCCACCTGCCTAGCACATGTTCCTGGTGCTGGCTCCCACCGCCAGGTCTCTGCTGAGCTGTCCGGCTGCCTGCCGGGAACCAGCAGGGGCTGGCAGCACCTCCGCTCCCAGCTGCGCCTGGTATTTGGGGCCATGGTCCTGGCAGGCACTGGCCTGTTTTCCGGCCTGTGTGTTTGCACGGAGCTCAGTCCCTGGCACGGCATTTTGGGATTTTCCAGCTACTCCTTTCCATCCTCTCCCAGCGGGCACAGAGGTGCTGGGGGGAAGGTCACATCTACATTGTTGGTCACTGTAAGTTTTGAAGATGGTGACACAATTGCCTTTAAAGTGATGTGGCATGAAGAAAGTTACTAATTTGGGGCATGGCCAGAGTAAAAACCCACAGAATGGTTCTGAGGCAGCATTCCAAGGGCCTGGGGTGGCATCAGGGACCATAAAGTACCCGTTTGTTTTCACAGGCATGGGGACACTGTGCACAGGAGCCCCTAGCCTCTGATCTCAGAGGCGCCAGCAGCTCACCGGGCCTGTGCGGTTAATGTAAGAAAGGTGTTTTGCCATAAACTTTTCCGGGGCATTCGGTGGGGTTGGCGAGGCCTCTGCTTGAGCAGGAAGCCCTTGTCTTGGTTCTTAAGAAACTAGTAAGCAACGAAATGAAAGCATCAAAGCGCCAGCAGGATGTGGCCCAAGCCCCCCCGGCATATCACCCCTAGAGCCGCGCGGGGAAGAGTGACCTTAGAGTGCTTGGAGCTCGCAGGCCGGGCTCAAGTTTAAAGTTCAAGGCATTTTGTTTTTTCACCTGTTTCCTACAGTTCTAAGAAACTTCTGAAGAATTAATGTGTAACTATATCAGACACTCGGTCGGCATTTTCTCCATGGAATGTAATGTTACGGGAGCAGGGGGTAGTGGCTCCTCGACTGAGACTCAAGGAGGTTTCTATAAAATAAGAAAAGTCCTCTGGAGTAAACGCGGACAGCACCAAGGCTGCTTCTCACTACGCTTTGACCACACTCGGTCACCTCTGCGATGCCCAAGGCTGGTGCCCAGCGTGTGGCTGCTGGTGGTCACGTGAGGACTAGGGCAGCCGCTGGTACTGTTGAAACCAGTATTCAGTTGTGACAGGGTGGCCCAAACTATGATCACCCTGCCCTTCCCAAATTTGGAGGGGCCGGGGTTCTGCTGGAGCCGACGTTGACACACCATGCTGGACAGCGAGAGCTAACTGGGGCAGCCCATGTAAAGGGGAGGCAAGCGCTCTGCCGGGCAGGGCTTCGGGCCAGGCCTCTGGTGCTGACACGGTCTTTTCCTCCAGCCAGCGGTGAGTGGCAGGGCCGGTTCCAGCAGGGGCCTGAGCTTCGTGCTGCCCAATTCCAGTCATTTTACTTGTTTTTTCTGACAGTCTTAACTTGACAACTGGTGATCAGCATTGTCAGTGGCTTGATGATTTATCATGTGGAGAAAACAGTTTGAAGTAATGACATAAGATTTTGGTAATATTTCCTCCTGTCATTGAATTTTAATACACACAGGAGGAATATTTTACTGAGGCACCTTTTTAAAAGGTTGTCTTTATGTTAGAAGCTGGTGTCCATTTAAAATCTTTTTCGCAAATTAGTTTAAGAAGAGCTAAAATGTTAGCCCTTTCCGTGTTTGGCCCCCTGGCGTGTGTAAGCATGTTTCTAAGTACGGACCAGGCCGTTCAGTAGCTGTAATTTGTTAAATGTCATAATAAACTCTTAAATTGAATCCTGCCTTTTACACTCTTGCCACCAGGTGGCTAAAAAGAAGATTAAGCAGGAAAAATCCAGTAATTATGTGAAGGACTCGTACTCACTTTCAGTGTCTGTCTCAGCGAGGAAATAGGAAACTAGAGATGGACCAGGGCTCAAGAAAGAAAACTGCTGAGTAGATGACAGAGACATCTCAAGCTGTGCCAGGCCAGATGGCCGTTCCCATGTGTTTTTGTTTTCTTAAAAACTGACACTGTTAAACTTACCAGATTTTGCTGAACTAAAACTTTTGGAGACTCTGTCTGTGCCTGTTCCACCTCTGTGCTGACCCCTGGATGTCCACGTTATTCCTGGCCAGTTGGGTTTGGGACAGAGGGTGGCTTTGGACTCGATTCCCGAACAGAGAGCACCTCAGTCCTGACCCACAACAGGCCTCCCACCCAATCTGTAATTCATCAGTGACATCATTTGCAGAGATGATGTTCAAGTTCACGTAGAGTCAGCTGTAGAACCCAAAAGTAAAATTCTCCAAGTTCTGTTTATTAATGGTAAGTTGCTGTAAGGGGCTGACCGGTCAGCTCAGCAGGTTACAGCGTGGTCCTGCTAACACCAAGGTCAAGGGTTCAGACCCCTGTACCAGCCAGCCACCCAAACCAAAACCAAACAAAACAACACAAAGGATGCTCTAAGGAAATCCCTGCCTGAGGGACGGTGACGTAACAGGCTGGGAAATGCTGTCAGACTTTCCACGGACTGCATGGGTTGGAGTAAGGACAGCTGCTTACAGCACAGTCCCACCGTCCCCCGATGTTTGCACAGCATCGCGAACAGAAGGGGGATCTTGTCCCACAGGCACAAAACCCCACCCAGTTCCTCACCGGGGTGTCACATGGCTGCCCACCTTCTCATGTGCATTCTGAGTTGCCATTCCCTTCTCTAATTTATTAACTTTGACAAGTAGCCTCCTGGTTGTGCACCATTTTATTCACAACTCGCTTTTCTGATTCAAAGTGAACGTGAGTGCCTTAATCCTCTAATAGCAATTAATTGCTTGTTTCAGTGCTTAACTCTGATCCTTTCTCAATCCCTACAGGGACAAGTTTCTTCCTGAAGGATCTGTGTTTGTTGACAAAGGTAATGACGTTTTTCTTATGAAAAAAGCCAGAAATGCAGAATATTTTCTTTTTTATTGTGTAAGTAGTATTCCCAAACTAATTTTATATTATAAAGGTTGTGTCCTTTTATAGAATTACTGAATTCTATAGATAAAATGCAGAAAATCATAATTTGGTCACTCTAGCAGGCTGAATTAGTTCCTAGAACAGAAGGTTAACTTTTATTGCCTGGTTTCCTTATGGAAATAAGCTGTCATCTTCCGCAGAAGAACCTGCTGAGCTGCTTTTCCACAGAGTTGGAATTAACATTTTGAGGCCTAATCATGATTATTTCTATATAATATCACCTTCCCAAGCGTTCTTGGTTCTGAAAATCATTAAGGGCACACCACTACTTGATATGGCTTGATTCTCTCTCCCACTTATAATATATTCATTTTTATTTTATTAAGAGGCTTCATCAAGAAGTATATAGGTGACAGATATTTTTATAACCTCTTGATAAAGAATGGTGCTGGGGAGGAGAGCTTGGGGGGAGCAGGGATAAGTGAGGGTCAAGGGAAAGAGGGAATTAACATCCATCAGGTGCTTCTGCCTGGCACTCAGCCGGCAGTCAGCAGAGATTAGCTCTTAGGGAAATACAATGACACAGTTTTAAATAGGAGGAAATAGAAGCTCAGAGACTTTAAATAATTTTTCCAAAGACCTATAGTTGCTAAGTGGTGGAGGTGGGAGTTCGATTCAGGCTTGTGATTAAGCCACAGTGTGTTTATGACACTTACCATGCATTGTGTCCTTAAACGCCCATCTACAGAATGCTAACTTCGCCCTGCCTGATGTTCCCTGCAGGGGCTGGGCTCACACTGTGTCTGATCCCACAGGGCTGGCCTGGCATTCAGTGTAGTGGCTCAGGCCTACTTGGGCACATCTACTTCACATTAAAGCAGAGACACAGAGCAATCTTCATTTTCCTCTGGAAAAGCCCAATTGGCTCACCTACAGCAGCTTCTATCCATTATTTATTAAACCATGCTCTTGCATTTTGTCAGAGACTCTGACCGTACTCAGTGCTATTGAAAGGAATAGCATGGCTGGAGGGGTGGGGTTGAAGACACAGTAATGTATGACTCTCAGAAGGTAGTGTCCCCTTCTGCAGTGCCAGCACCACCCCTCCCAACCCAGCCCAGGGGCCTGGTGCATCAGAGGAGGTCCTGATGCTCTCCCGGCCAGAAAGAATCACAGGCACGTTCTGGGTTACCCCTGGCTGGGGTTCTGAGAGGCATCTGGCCAGTGCAATGGACTTTTCTTGTGTCCTATTGTCTGTGGACATCACAGCAGCTCTTGGAAATAGGATGAACATGGCAGATGAAAAACAAGAGTATGGAGAGAGAAGGAACTCTAAAAAGAAAAACTAAAGCCAACGCTAGCAGAAGGAAAGGAATAAAAAGATTAGAGAAGAGATATAAAGAATAGAAAAACAATAGAGAAAACCAGTGAAACCAAGAGTTGGTTGTTTGAAAAGATTAAAAGAATTGACAAACTTTTAACTAAACAAAAAAAAAAAAGAGAGAGAGACAGAGAGAAGCCAAACAACTAAAACCAGAAATGAAAGGGAATATTACAACCCATTTTACAGAAATAAAAAGGATTATAAGAGAACACTGTGAACAACTTTATGCCAACAGATTGGCTAACCTAGATGAAACAGACAAGTTTCCAGAAGTGCACGACCTACCAAGACTGACTCATGATGAAAGAGAAAATCTGAACAGACTATAACTAGTAAGGAGTTTGAAGCAGTAATCAAAATCTCTCCCAGCCTCCCCGCCCTAAACAAACAAACAAACAAAAAAGCCCAGGACCAGGACCAAATGGCTTCACTGGTGAATTATACCAAGTCTTTAAAGAAGAATTAACACGAGTCCTCCTGTAACTCTTGCAAAAACTGAAGAGGAAGGAGCACTTCCAAACTCATTCTTTGGGGCCAGCATTACCCTGATACTGAAGCCAGACAAGGACACTACAAGAAAACAAAACTATAGACTAATATCCGTGATGAAGATTGACACAAAAATCCTAAACAAAATACTAGCAAACAGTTCAACAATACATTAAAAGTATTATATATTTTGACTAAGTGGCATTTATTCCTAGACGCAAGGATAGATCAACATACGAAAACCAGTCAGGTACTCCATTAACAGAATGATGGGGAAAGATCACACAATCATCTCAATTGTTACGGAAAAAGCAGTTGACAAGATTCAACAGTATTTCATGGTAACAACACTCAACAAACTAGGAGTAGAAGGAAATTACCTTAACATAATAAAGATCACAAATGAAAAACTAATATGATAGTAAATGGTGACAGACTGAAAGCTTTTCTTCTAAGATTAGGAACAAAACAACGATGCCTGTTTTCACCATTTCTGTTCAACACAGTACTAGTAGTCCTAGCTGGAGCAATCAGGCAAGAAAAGGAAATGGAAGGCATCCAAATCAGAAAATAAGTAGTAAGAAATTAACTGTGTCTGTAGTCTTGTATGTAGAAAACCTAAAACTTCCACCAAAAGCTGTTAGAACCGATAAATGACTTCATCAAAGTTGCAGGATACAAAATCAACACACAAAAATCTGTTGCATTTTTATACACTAACAATAGATAATCCAAAAAGGAAATTAACAGTTCCATTTACGATAGTATCAAAAAGAATAAAATACTTAGGAATAAACTTAACCAAGAAGGCAAAAGACTTTACACTGAAAACTACAAAACACTGCTGAAAGAAATTAAAAACACAAATAAATGGAAAGATATCTCATGTTCATGGATTGGAAGACAATATTATTAAGATGGCAATACTACCTGTGTTAGTCCATTTGTGTTGCTATAACAGAAATACTTGAGAGTGGGTAGTTTATAAAGAACAGAGGTTTATTTGGCTTATGATTCTGGGACAGCTGCCTCTGTCATGGGCCTCAGGCTGTTTCTACTCATGCCAGAAATGTGGCAGGCAGCCGGGGGGTACAAGCAGATCACATGGCGAGAGGAAGCAAGAGGGGGGCAGGTACTGGGGTCTTCTCAACAACCAGCTCATGGGACTAACCGAGTGAGATCTCTCTCACTACCTCTCTTCCCCCAGGGAGAGCATTAATCCATTCATGAGAGTTCCGCCCCCATGACTCAAACAGCTTCCAGCACTGCCAATTGGGGATCAGATTTCCACATGTTTTGGCAGGAACAACACGTCCAAACTCTATCACTACCTAAAGTGATCTACAGACTTAATGCAATCCTTATCAAAATTGCCAATGGAATTTTTTGCAGAAATAGGAAAATTTATCCTAAAATTCATATGGAATCTCAAGGGACCCCAAATAGACAAAGCAACCTTGAAAAAGGACAACAAAGTTGGAGGTCTCACACTTTCTGATTTCAAACCCTACTGCAAAGTTACAGTAATCAAAATAGTGTGTGGCACTGGCATAAAGGCAGGCATATAGACCAGTGGGATAGAATAGAGAGCACAGAAATAAATCCTTTCATGTATGTTCAGAGGATTTTCATCAAGGGTGCCAAGACAACCATTCAGTGAGGAAAGGACAGTCTTTTCAACAAATGCAACAGATGGCATTGAGAAAACTGGGTGTCCACATGCAAGTGAATGAAGTTGGACCCTTACACCATACACAAAATTAAATGAAAAGTGGGTCAAAGACCTAAAGCTAAGGACTAAAGGTATAAAACTCTTCAAAAAAGTATTTGGGAAAATCTGTAGGACACTGGATTTGATAGTGATTTCTCAGATATGACACCAAAATCATAGGAGACCATAGTAGAAATCAATTGGACTACATCAAAATAAAAAACTTATGTGCACTAAAGGACACAATCAACAAAATGAAAAGGCAGTGGAATGGGAGAAAAATATGTGCAAATCATATATCTGATAAGGGGTTATTATCCAGGATATATACAAAACTCCTGAAACTCAACAACAAAAAAACCCAATTAAAACACAGGCAAAGGTTTGAAAAGAGATTTTTCCAAAGATATACAAATGGCCAATAAGCACATGAAAAGATGTTCAAAATCACTGATCATTCGGGAAATGCAAATCAAAACCACATTGAGATACCACCTCACATCTGTTAGAATGGCCACTATCCTAAAACAACAACAGCAGCAGAACAGAAAATAGCAAGTGCTGGGGAGGATGCAGAAAAATTGAAACCTTGTGCATTGCTGGTGGGAACGTGAAAAGGTGCAGCTGGTATAGAAAACAGTATGGCTGTTCCTCCAAAAATTAAACATACATTACCACATGACCAGCAGTTCCACTTCTGGGTATATACACCCACCAGAATGGAAAGCAGGGTCTCATGGAGCTACTTGCACACCCATGGTCACAGCAGCATTCACCACAGCCATGAGTTGGAAGCAACCCAAGCATAGGGAGGTGTAGGGTCCTTTGCAGTCTGTCCCTGCCTGAGTCCTAGGCTATTCTTGACAGGGTCATCTCTCTGGGTGCTGGTCAGTGTGAGTGGTAGAGCCATGGAGGCTTCTGGAATCCAGTGGATCTGGGTTCAGTTCCTGCCGTGGCCCGTCACGCCACGTGCCCTGAGCCCTCTTCTAAGCCGCCTGACTCTGTTTCCTCTGTTGAATGAGGATAATAGCACCTGCCTTATAGAGCTGTGAAGATTAAATAAACTGAGATGGTAAGAAAGTACCTCGTGCAGGGCCCAGTGCACCCGGTGACACTCAGTCCTGCCGTGTGCGGGACCCTCAGAGCACCCGCAGAACAGCCGCCCTGTGAACCTGGTCCTCGCTGGGAACGAGCCCCCTCAGGAATGCGTCCCCAAAGGCTCTCCTGCCTTGCCACCTCTCACCTAGGCCTGCTTGTCCACTCTTGGATGGAACAGTTTTCTTCCTTTGCAGTGTCCCAGAGTGATGGGAACAATGACCGTCTGTGCTGGGGACCCGCTCTGTACTGGCGTCTTGCAGCTTAGTCTGAA